AGGTTTAGGATTAGGTTTAGGGGGGCTAGGTTTAGGTTTAGGTGTTAATTTTAGGCTTAGCGTTTACAGCGTGCTTGTTGTCGCGCTGTGATGACATCAGCTACGCGGTTTCGTCGAGCGTCCTTTAGTCGAACGCGGTTTTGTGGTGGAACCCTGAGATTCTTCAGCTGGCTAGGGAATTCTGGGAGTTGAAGTCCACAAGTCTTAAAGTTGCCCGTGTTTGGAAACCCCTGCCTTAGTGAAAACCACACAAGCTCTCTCTTCTGAGGTTTCGCCTTGGGATGGAAAGGGTGGGAAGCTAGGGAGGCTGCAAAGGGCCGGAGAAAGGACCATCTGTCCCCATCTCACTGTTCCGCTGCAGCCTCCCTGGCTGACCATCCTTCCCGGTCTCAAGGTAAATTCCTCTTGTGACTGAACTGATGTGTGAGAGGTCTGGGAAGCTGTAGTTAGCTAGACAAAGGAATGCACAATGACAAACAAATACTGTCACACCACATAAACCACCTTGCTAAAGAAGAATTGTGAAAATGCCACATTCCAGCATGTGAACCTAATAGCAAAATAAATGTTTACCTGATTTCAAGTACAAAATCCAGTTCAGCCAGGGCCCAATTTCTCCTGTAGCCACTATTCTCAATGCCTAAGAGATTACTGTTCTGTATCCACTTGGCATTTAAAAGTTCCAAAAAGTCACCTTAGAAACAGAAAAAACTTTTTCTATCTTAATGCATTCATTCGGTTTTGATAGATAAAAATTCCAAGGGATCTTCCCAAGTTCCGAAATACCCAAACTGGTCTATGTTGTCAACCAATCCAGAAGCAAAAATGGAATTTGCTCAGAAGTGGGATGCTCTTACCAGATCTGAACATTTAACTAAAGAAGAGCTCTGTAAGAATTTCTGAACTGAGTTGGCACTGTCTTTTCTATTTGCAGTGACTACATCTCCATGAAGGCTGAAATCCAGAATGGCGGCGTTTTCAGGTCCAAGCAAAACAAACCATTTGGCTGAGGACTTGCCAAATTCACCTATGAAAGAGAGCGTGCAAACTAGGACCTTTAAATCCAGCACAATTTTCCTCTTCCTATTTATTTTACCTTTGAAAGTAGAGCAATCCTTCTTTCTCTAAGGGGCCTCCCTATTGCCTTCTGGGATGCCCCCAATGCTCTGCTGTAGGAGAACTACAGTCACCAATTGTGGATCTCCAAGAAAGTTTTTCTGGGAGGCCTCTGCCTTCACGAAAGAAATTCCAAGAGGCCTTGGCATCTCCAGAATACTGACATGGGAACAGCTGGATGATGTTTATGATCTCTTCAGAAACATCCAGTAGCAAACCTGTCCGTGCCAAGGGGCAGAAAGCTAAGAGGAAGAAGAAGAACTGGAAAGCTGTTTTGGATGCTACCAAGTAGCCACTGGGGAAGAGGAACAGACCTAAAATTTGATGGCATTTCTCCTTTCTCTGATCTATTTTACCTGCTTGTCAGTCTTGGATACTTAAATGGAAAAATATCAGTGAGGAAGGAAAGACTCTTACCAGCCATCCAAGTAGGTTACCTCATCAAACTGGTGAAACAGACCAGACTCTAAGCCACCTCGCTTTCTCACAAGCACAGGGAAACTTAAAAATCAAACAAATATATGTAGTAAGTGAGATGGAGAAGAAACCAAGTTAGCTTCCAGGATTGTGTGGGACTGGAATCTGGGTCCTCCTGGGCCAAGCAAGTGACTTCTTCTCCAATCCTCCACACTGGACAAAGGGTCGGGTGTGGGGGAGGCTAGAATCAAAGGAGACAGGCTTAGTATCTGGGTCTTCTTTTGATTTAGGTAAAGAACTGTTGGATGTTAAGTGAATTCTGGTCTACAAGAACACTTCCAGCCCCACATGTCTCCTTTCTATAACCTCTGCCCCTTAAGAACATTTTCAAGTTTAAATTCCATCTAACAAGAAATATGTTGTGTTATTCTTCTTTAAATAGCATTATTCCTGAAAAGCACATATCAGCTGGGTGATCTATGTGGCTGCTGAGCTTCAAGACTGGCTCTGAGGAGTCCTTATCCACGCTGCTCCATCATCCCCTACTTTTCCCCCCACTGGAAATTTGCAACTATCACCCTTTGGGAATGAAGAACCTGCTTTAAGACCTGAACAAGAGGTTCAAGCATTCTTGCACATGACAGAAAGTCAACAGAAGCGGCCAGTTTGGCCACAGAGACAATGAGAGCTTGGAATGGCCTCAGCTCTGCTCCTCAGAGCTGGCTGTGAGTCTCCAGACCTCTCTTGCAATCTCTTGCTCCTGGCTGTACATGTGAGGGCAGATGGAAGGCAAATCCCAGAACACCTGAAGAACACAAGGCTAAATATCTTCGTTGTAGAGTCAGACCAAGCAAGGTAATATCCTTTCCTGCATAGTTAATTCCATATTAGATTATTCTGGAGGGAGACATTCACAAAGAGATTTGAGTGGCCAACAGCCCACACTACCTTTCAGCATCAACATTTGTTTCAAAACTTGTTCTAAGCATCAGGGCTCAGCCCAGCATATCCGTGTTTCCCTCAAGTTAAAATATGTCCCATCACAAGATACCACCCCCTCTCAAATAGATCTAAGTTGAAGAAACTAAACATCTTTCTCCTAAAGGGACAGAGAAGTCTGAAACTGCCACCCCTGCGAGATGGTCAGTGAAATGTATCATCCCTCATCTTTAAAAGAGAGGGTGGGGGCTCATGATCTAAACCATGTCTGAGCCCCGGAATAAAAGACCAATCTCTTAAATAAACTTGTGTGAATTGCTTTTACTTCCACACTGGATTCCTACAATTATTCCAGACAGCTGGAATTGGGCAACTTTACAAATTGGTCCCCCTCATTATCCTTCCCAATTTATCCAGATTGCAAGTTATTAAAACTCACTCCAGGAAAACAAACTGAATTCCCCCCCACAGCCCGAATCCCAGTCTATGACTTCCAACACCTCAGGAAGTTTGCTCTCTCTTGCCCTAGTCTCCAAGAGTTGGAAAAGAGAAAGTGCACTGACCCCTCCTTTGGCTGGCCTGCTGCTCTCCTTGGTGGCTCTTCTCCCGTTAGGTCCAACTATCCCCCCCGAGGCAAGGTGTCTCTCTCTGCAGAATGAAGGCCCAGTTGCCTTTACCAGCTGATGCACTGAGTCACTGCCATATCCTGAGGAGGATTGGAAGGCGCTGGAGGCTGATCCACTGAAAGAGACCCTGCTTTGGGAGGTTAGGATGCCACCTTCTCTCTTGCCAACAGTTGTTTCTTGCACAGATGAAGGTTGCAGAGGATTCTCCAACCCTTTGAGCTCCACCTGATCCATCATAGGTGACGGCGTGGACAGCTCGGAGATAGTGCCCTTATCTGCTGCATAAGAAGCTCCCCAAATAGTGCTCGATAGACTCTCATTTCCTTCTTCGCTACTCCAGTTCTTGTAGGACTCTTCCACCATCATTGTCACTCCTTCTTGTTGCTGCAGGACCTCCAACTTTGGCTGAGCCCAAGAGCCCACCACTGCCAGTTCTCCCAAACGATTCTCCCCTGGTACTCCAGGCACGGCCTCCCTGAGCAATGGCACCAGAACTGCTCGGCTCTTGCCCAAACCCACCGGCCTCTGAAAAGCCACCAGTTGGCTTGCCACTTTTTCACGGTTCTGCTCTGCCGGGTTGTCTAGCAGGTGAGCAATGACCATGGCTCCTTCAAGAAAGTCTCCTGGGCTTTCAGATAGGGAAAAGGTGTTTTCGGTCACCAGGTGAGCTCGCTCCAGAGTCCCCTGAAACTTCTCTCTCACCTGCACGACGTGTCCTTGCTCCAGACTCTCCCTCTTCAAAGGCAGCCAAGCCTCCTCGTAGGAAGCAGCGCGCAGGTGGAAGTCCTCAGCTCTTCCCTCCTCCTTCAGAGGAGACCCCCTGAACTTCTTCTTCTCCTCCTCCTCCTCAGCTATCTCAGTCCTCGAGGAGGGTCTCTCTGCTCTCAGCTCAGGCATCTCTGGGGCCATCGGCTTCTTCCCCTTCCTCTTCCGCCAGAAGCGAGCTTTCCTCTGGGGAGAGAGGGGAGCATTCCCCACCTCCCTGTCTGGCTCTTTCAGCTCTTTAACACAGCCCAGAATATTTCCCATCTCCGTGGTGCGCAGGGCTCCAGTGGCAATGCAGCAATGCTGCCACTGGCCTCCTGGAGAAACCCCAGCAGCTGCTTCATCAGATTAGGTGCCCATTTGAAAAATGCAGACCACCGCAAGCATGCTCACACTTGAATACGAACACACAGCAGCACATCAAGATGCTCCTCCTGCCGAGCTGCTGCCATTTTCAGACAGCCATCTTACGAGGCTGGGAGCTGGAGGGAGAGACATTCAAAGCACCTCACTGCAGTTCAGAAATCACTTGACCCAAAAGCAGCCAGAGCCGGGATTGGTTGCAGCAGCTTCTCTCCAAATATGAGGTAATGGGAGGGCTCCCCTCGTAAAGAGAAAGCCACAGCCAGACAGAGGCAGCAGCGGCAGCAGCGGTGGCGGCAGGAGGGAGGAGGGAGGGAGAGGCTGCTGAGGGGTGTGGCACCAAGGCAGAGAGATGGAAATCAGGAGACAAAGTTAAAAAAAAGCACAAGAAAAACAAGGAGAGGGAGGTGGCGTGGGGACGAACGGGAGACACTCGGAGAGAAAGGAACCAGGGCATTGTGCAAAGCCGCCGAGAAGCCCAGAGAGGCGGCGGCTGCTGCTGCACCAGATAAACTCCATCCAGGGATTTACGCTGGAGAAGATTAACCTCAGCAAAGAAAGCCTCCCTCCTTCCAGCTGCATCTAAGGACCAAGGCAGGAATGCCGGAACGCAAAGACATTCTTGGCTCTGAAGAGCATCGGGAAAAATATATTTGGCAATGCTCCTCAGTCATAGAGCACCCTGGGGGCCTCAACGCCCATTCAGTGGGGCTCAGTCAGCCAAACCATCCAGACCCTCAGCTGCACCCCCATCAGCTGCATCCATATCCCCTCAGAGCTGATGAAACAAGAGACTTCCCTGACCTGCAGCTGGAGACCAGTGTGGAACCCCGACTGCCCCTCCTTGGGAGCCTGGGTGCTGATGAGAAAACTGGGCACCTTCTAGTGCCAATGGAGAGCCTCAAGCTCAGAAGAGTTGGCATCGTCTTGCAAAGGAACTGCATTGTTTCTACCCCCTCCCCCATGCAACCAGGTATTTCTTAAATTGTTTTTAAAAAGGTATCAGAAACAGGGATTCTGGTGCCCACCAGATGTTCTCAATTCCCACCAAAGCCAACGAGCATGACTAATGGCATTATACTATTGCAGAGGTATAACACTTTCAATATTTTTTTAAAGAAATGCATAGCTAGAAAAGCCAGACAGAACTTCGGAGGCCCACTCAGAGGGATTTCTCCTAAAGCACAAAATGACCCAGTGGAATTCATTGCCACAAGATGTGGTAGTGGATCTGCGTACTTGAGAGACCGCCTCCTGCCAATTACCTCCCTGCGACCAATTAGATCACATAGATTAGGC